TYMAARRRKTTYYKGRAAAWSGGKTTTTTTTTGGGACTTGTTTAGCAGGGTKGCAGAAAAGGAGTTTCCTTGCAGAACAGCCTGAGATAAAATATTTTTCTCAGTGATGAAACCACCCAATATSTAGGATACCTAATATCAGGGTTGACTCACTAGCTACCCTCTTTGATCATATTGCAGACTTTGTTCTGGCTTTGTTTCCCTAAAAATTTTTTGACATGGCTTATACAAATATTTCATCCTTTTTGATGTCACACTTTCAATGTTTGTTTTTTTTTTTTTTATCTCTTATTTACATCTGAAGAGAAGATATAATTCTGATGTGATACAAAGTGGTGTTTGCCAACAATGGGCAATATTAATAAGTATAAAATATGTTTGGAACTTTTTAGGTTACAAAGAATGAAAAAAATATCTTCAGGAACAAGAAAAATGATCTTTCGATTTCAATACTGAAAGAATTGTGCTATGAAGAAATATATTGCTCATAATATGTTTTTTCTGTTCAACAGTTACATCCTGCTTTCTATTTTATGTACTACTAAGATTTGTGTGGCAAAAGCTATTTTCTAGTTTTTGTATTATTGAAGCAATTACCTTGTTGTCAGAAAAGATTGCAGTGGGATAAATAATTTGAGATGTACACAAAATGTTGGTTGGCAGACTTTACATTTTCTATAAATGTAGGTATCATTTCCTCTTCATAGCATTCACTAGGAGTGGTTTATATATTGCTTGAATAGAAGCATAGAATATTTTCTGATATTTCAAAAATTGTTTTCAACAAATGGAGCAGAAATAGGATTTTTTTTTATGTGAAGAAAATGTATTTCTCACGTATTCAGAAATAATTCTCTGCAGTTTCACTGATAGTAGACACTGAGAATAGTGTTCAGCAAAACAACAGAAATTATATATCTGGGAATAAGATACATTATGACTGTCGGAAAGTTTTTGGAGCCTAAATAGCATTTTTTATTGATTCAGATATGATGAGGACCATATAATTTCAGGTGATACAATACAGTCTGTAGTTCACTCCAATGTCATGCTTTATCCTCTGTGTCTAAAACTAATGATAAGTTTGATAGGTTCATTAGCTTTTTCTATTATGATCACTGATGCTATAATCATGTTCTTTTCTTCTGATCTTGTCATTATGCTTAGCCTGTAAGTGTCTACCTAGAGGTCATATTTCCTGAAAAAAAGGAAAAAGAGYAGACATCTTTAATAGTCCTTTAATATTCCCTGTTTGAATTAAAGATGCTGCACAGCAAATTCTCATAATGCTGTGTGCAACGTCCATGAAACATTGTCTTTTCACGTGCTACAGTCACACTTTAAGGAAACATGATCAACATGTTGGTCTTTGGGATGGCTGTAAAATTGCAGGACATGCATTTACACTAATTGCATTGATCTAATGTTCACAGAGGGAACCCTGAATTTACACACTGGAAARTAAAGAATTAGTTACTAGCCCTCAGTGTGTTTTACCTGTTTTTGACTGCAAACTGTTCTGTTTTTCTGAAATATTAATCCTTAAGGATTTCCACATGAAGTACCTTAAAAACAAGTCTAAGAGCCAACTCAAATTTTTGTTGTTTTAATTATTCTGTGGAACAGAGCCTCAGTCAGAACTCCCCACCAATCACTTCATATCTGTTGAGTTCTTATTTTGATTCCAAAAAGAGTTTTTAGTAGTCTTATTCAAAATGTGAGCTCTCATTCTAATCTAAGAACCTCAGTCTGAGAAATTACATTATGACTGCAGGCAGTTCCTCATAGCTGAGATTTTGGGACTTCAGCCAGGATCTATTTCTGTGATAATGCCTCTCTGTGGAAAAATCCACAAGAGATATATCAGAGGGAACATCAGGAAAATTTATTCCTCATGTGTCAACCTGTAAAGAAAGTAGTAGCATTTGCTTCCCTGCTAGAAATAGCTACAGGGACTATCATCCAAATCAGAGAACCTTCAGTAGATTTTTTCCATTCCTAAGAAAAGGGGGACTACCCCAGATCTGCAGTGAAATGGTTTGCCTGCAGAATACAGAACTTTCTCCAGAATCTTGTGCTCAAARGGGAAAATATACCCAAACTCCACAATGGCAGAAACCAGATTACTGTTTCCAGGGCAGACCTTTGGAATTCTCACTTTTCTATTTTCACCTTCCCTCTGACCACTGTCTTTGCTGAGGACTTTAAAAAAAAAAAAAAAATTAGATGAGTGTTGAATTGAGCTACCAGTGCAGACCTCTGCCCTGAATATTTTTGATTTAATGCTGAAATACTCTTCCTTGTCAGGTGGAACTTCTGAAGTCTCCTACTCTAATAATGTTCTGCTGCACACTTTTTAACAGTGTACATTCTGCTGTGGCTCTCCTTTCCCTATGGAATAACCMARATTTATCACACAGCAGTGTCACCTSGGGATAAGGAGCTGCCTTATTCCATGGAGACTTTACCATGGAAGTTGCCATCTTCATGAATACAATGGTTCATTTCCATCAGTGACATGGCAAACAGTTACCCTCAGCACATGGGGATGGGATGTGCCCATTATATTGATTGCACATCTGCTTTCCCATGGGCCTAGTGCCATTGACCAGAGGAGCTCTTAATAAACTCTTGTGTGTCAGGACTGTGATTTCATTCCCTAAAAAGTCATTGGAGAGCGCTCTAGCTGTGCTCTCACAGGATGTCTCCAGACAGATCATCTGGCAGGATCAGGAAACAACCCTCTGTAGTTTACAGCTAATCTGCCAATTTATTAGTTTTAAGGTTCATCTAAACCACAAGTAGCTCAGCTTTAGTTGTGAAATTAATCACAGGACTTCACTTCATGAAATGAAGATTTTAATTGAAGACATTGAGGCTCTATTTCAAAGTGTGTTATTGCATATTATTTACTCTTAATGGAAAGGAAATCATAATTTATTTATCTAAACATGGGCAGAACTGAGAGGAGATGGGTCTTACCAGAACAATCCTTCACTCTRCAGTGTCTTGTTTAATACAAAATAATCCACTAGCTGGCCATATGCAAAATGTCTAAAAGTCATGAAGAAGCAAAATTGCAAAGACTTTTTGTTGTATGGTCCTTTGCCTTTGAGACAGCTAAGAGCTTTGGATCTCCACTGGCTCAATGAATTACCAGCAACSCATGCAAAGCTAGAACAAAAGCTCCATGCAGTATTGTGGCATCTTGTGTTACAGAAATGCATCTGGGGTCCCTCAGGATGTTTGGAACAGTGAGTATGAGAGGAGAGTCTTCAGGCTTTAACTTGTGTTGCTCAGGGCTTTCTATCTCCTGCATAGAGTGTTTGGTAGTATTGACTACTCCATTTATCAAAATTATAGATCTTTCAATTGTTGTGAAGATAATTCTGTCAGGTGCCTGAAGGAGAAATTAGATATGAAATGAACAGAACTAATCCTGTATCACCCGTTGTGACRATCATTAACAAAAAAACCCTTATAAAAGACCTAACTCATCTTGAAACCAGCTGGGTTCCTTCTTTCTCCCCGAAGCTTATTTCTTTTCCTTTAAATTCTCACCAATTTTCTGTACTGTAGAGTACTCTAATTCATATTTATCCTTGTGCTTTTAGGCTGCATCTRTATTTGCAAACTAAATAGGGACAGAGAGAGACAAGGCACCAGCTGGAGCAKGGACATACAGCTGTCCATAGAGGATCACACTGTTG